CCTTGGACTTGTTCTCCTATACAGAGGTTCTCGCTGGTTCTCAGTATTCTTATTCAATCTTAGGGTATACTATCTGTGGTGGTCTGAATGAAAATGGCCCCCATAGGCCCATAGGGAGTGGCAATATTAGGAAGTGTGGCCTTGTTGGAGTAGGCGTGACCTTGCCAGAAGAGGGTGTCACTGGGAGCAGGCTTTCCGTTTTCAGATGCTCAAGTCAGGCCAGTGTCTCATTTCTCTTCCTGCTGCCTGTGGATCCAGATGTAGAACTCTCAGCTACCTCTCTAATACCATGTCTGTCTGTATGCCCCCTGTCATGACAATAATGGACTAAATCTCTGAACTGTAATCCAGCCTCAGTTAAATGTTTTCCTTTATGAGTTGCCATGGCCATAGTGTCTCTTCACAGCAATAGAAACCCTAACTAAGAGTCTATCTGTATCTAACTTTCCCATGAATTCCAGATTCAGCTATTCAAGAACATCTTTACTAGGATGCCTCCTTTCAGTTTCATAAAACCAAAGTCAAATGTTTGATACTAACTCCTAACACCCTATCTCAAACTTGGTCTTCATATAACCTTTCCCAGTTAGTCACTGGCAAGAATATTCTTCTATTTGTCCATACCAGGTACTTGGAGTTAGTCTTCTTTCATAATCTATGTTTTCTCTCAGTAAATGTTAACTCCACCCTGAAAGCATACACAGAACAGGCACACTGCTCAGCATCTACCACATGACCTCGTATTCTATGACACCATCACCTTTCACCAAGATTATTGCAATTGACTCCTATCTTTTTTCTTTCCTTCGGTATTTGCCTAAATACAGTCTATGTGTTAAGTCATATGACATCTCACCTCTGGTCAACGTATTTCAGTGACTTTTCATTTTACTCAAGAGTGGAAGTTAAAGTCCTTAACTATATTCGATAACACACTAGTTTGACTACCCTCTATGTCTCTGATTTTATCACCCCAAACCCCTAGGGATCAGTGGTTCTCAACCTCCCTAACACTGTGACTCTTTAATACAGTTCCTCATGTTGTGGTGACCACAACCATAAAATTACTTTCATTGTTAATTCATTAACTATAATTTTGCTACTGTTATGAATCATAATGTAAATATCTGATATGTGACCCTCAAAGGTGTTATGACCCACAGGTTGAGAACCACTGCCTTAGATCATTCTGCTCCCTTAATTACTGGAGTGGAGGATTTTCCACTTTAAGCCCTTTGTATTGTTAGTTTTTCTGAGGATAATATTGCTCTTCCAGGTTCCTTACATCTTTACTGCATATGACATAATTCATAATTGACTATTATGGGTTTATTACCTACTTACACACACACACACACATACACATCCCCCCACCCCTTCCCCCGGTTGTGTATGTGTGTGTGTGTGTGTGTGTTAATACTAACATTATTAGAGGCTATGTCAATAAGTCTCAGTAGGAAGAAAACATGAGTGTTTTTCTTGTTTAAAAATTCAGATTTGCAATTAAAGAAGCAGTGTGGAAGACTTAGGCTCCTGACATAAGCTCGTGGCTGAAAACTCAAGAGCTTTAAGCACTGCATTCATCTTTACTAATTATACTTGCCAATCAACTATGAGGCTGTTCTGTAGCTACTTAGAACAATATAACAATAACTAATTTTAAATCAGAATGAGACAAGTGTTAATATAGAAACAAGAAGAAGACAACTCTGAAATTATGTCAGAAATAAGATTTTAAATTCCATGATAAGCACTGATTTTTACTGACTGTACTGATAGTTTAAAGCGTCAATTTGCCACAACCTAGAGTCATCTGAGAAGGATCACCCACTTGAGAAATGATCTAGATCAGATTAGACTATGAGATGTCTGTTGGGGACTGTGTTGTTAATTGTTGTAGGGAGACTCAGCCTGCTGTGGTGGCACCACTTTATGGGGCAGGGCCTGAACTGCTTAAGAGCGAAAAGGTCTTGATGAGTATAAGCATGCAGCAGGTGGCCAGGAGGGGTGCATCCATTTCTCTCTGCTCTTGGCTGTGGACATGATGTGACAGCTACTGTGCTCTGACTTGATGTCCCCCCAACAACAGACTAACATGTAATTATACAAACCCTTGTCTCCCCTAAACTGTTTTTTGTCAGGATATTTTACTGCAGCAACAGAAATTGAACTAGAACAGTGGCAAATACAATCTATGTTTTCAAGAGCAGAACAAATCTAGGTCACATACCCCAAATAGGAGCTTTCAGGGTTAGCATTCTGAAAGTGAAGTTTAGGCATAAAGTCTGGCCATTTCTCATACATAATAGTTACCAAGCAACAAAAACCCGAGACTTAGCTTACACACCACTGACATCATTACAAACATGAAGTCAAGTCAGATATGAGTCACATGCCTAGAACCTCTGCGTTAGAGATGCAAACACAGGATTATGAATTTGATTGTAAGGTTTCCTGAATTACACAGCAGTTCTAGGCCAGCCCAGGTCATACAACAAGACTGCCTTTAAAAGAAAGAAAAAAAAAAGGATATGAACTGTTTCAGTTAACTGAGAACTAATTGGAGTCAAGGAGAATAGGCTCCCAGGAGGCCAATGTCTGCTTTTGTGCCAATGCTTATCATAAACTAGGCATTCCACCAATGCCAACAATTACTTCTTACATAACACTTGAAGCACCCCCATTCAAATGTTAGAAAATGAAGGGGAGGAGAGGTGCATTGTCCTTGGTAGGTTATATTTTATACTAATCTTCCAAAATGTTGATGTGCACATTCTAGGGTCATCTAGCACCTGGCACAGAGCAGTCTTAAAATCAAATACTGCCACCTAATTCTGTTTAGGATGGAATGAACCTAACGTAAGTATCCCATAACATTGACGCTTGCTATAAAACTGAAATCTCGTGGCAATCATGTCAGTCAGTGGCTCACCAAACCAAGCATTAGTCAGGTGGGAACAGTCAGTGGCATATTCTTGATATTGGCCAGATGGCACTGTGTGAGCTCCATCACCAAATATTTTAATTTGCAATAGTTCATTGACAAAAAGTACAACAATTAAAAACTAAATATTTTAAAGCCTGTAATAATTGAACCAATCACTAATTTTAGGAATTCACCTAAATTTTAGGTAGCACCTGTCTTTAATTCTAACACTTGGAGTCAGAGACAGGAAGATCTCTGTGAGTTTGAGGCCAGCCTGCTCTGCACATAGTGAGTTCCAGGACAGCCTTTCTGGAGAGAGAATAAATTACAAATAACTATTTATTTCGCTTGCTTTTCTGTTGGCTGTGATAAAACACTGACCAAAAGTGGCATGGGGAGGAGAGGGTTTATTTCGTCTTACAGATTATAGTTAATCATGAAGAGAAGTAGCTAACAGAATTTAAGGTAGGAACCTGGAGGCAGGAACTCAAGCAAGGACTGTGACAGAACACTGATTATTGGGTCACTTGCTGTGGCTTGTTCATTCATCTTGCTTTTTATACAGCCCAGGACTGTCTTCCCAGGGTTGGCATTGCCCACGGAGGCCTAGACCCTCTAATACCAGTCATTAGTGAAGAAAATGTCCCTCAGACATACCTACTGCTCAAACTGACAGGGCAATCCCTTAAGGGGATTCCTTCTTCCCAGGTAACTCTAGTTTGCCAAGCTGCTAAAAACTAACCAGCATGGTGTTGCATTGGTCTCCATTGCCTCCATACTTCAAACTTAAGAAGCTGAAAACACCACACATGCATTATCTTATAGTTCTGTGGATTAGAAACCTGACACGAATTAAGATGCCTTCTGGAGAGTCTAGGAGCAAAGTCCTCTTCTCTGAATTTTTGGCTTTTGGAAGCTGTCCTGTGTTGTCACACAGCCCCTTCCTCCATCTTTTAAGGCTACGTTAGCAAGCGGAGTCCTTCTCACATCTGCTCATGAAAACCTTGCTCAGGTCTTTTTCTGACTCATCCTTGTGTGCTAATTTGGAGGACCACTGTGTTCATGTGTACTCTTTATAATACTCTTAAGTAGGCTTTCTTATGTGGCAATCTTATCTGAATCAAGACATAAATTGGCTCTCTATTTCTACTACTAAATTCACTAATAATTTGGCTTTACAAAGCACCATATTGGGTTTATACCTAGTTATTGTTTTACATACCTGAGTAACAATATATAAATCTAACTGGGTAAAACCATGGAGCCACAATTTTACTTTTCTAGTTATTTATTCCTGTTAGATATGCTGTCTTCTTATCTATGAAGTAAGCCTACCTACAGACTTGTCATAATGACAATATGGAATTATAAATGTAGAATGTTCAGCACGGTTCCTGGCTACCATCAGCTACTTCTTAAGTAAATTTAACATTTATTTCATAAAAACTGCATCCAAGCATTAAAGTACAATAAAGATAATTTTCTGTGTCTAGAATGCTACATTGCTCTCTACAAAACTAGAACTTTAAACATTACAGAATATTACTGCACACTTAATGTATACATTTTCTATATATCTTATTAATTTGTCTTTCTATTTTACTAGCTTGTAGTTCTATACTTACTTACCTAATTATTTATTTATCAATTTTACTATGTAGCCCAGGTTGACCTCAAATTCATGATCCTCCTGCCCTGGTCTCCAAGTGAGATTACAGTAATATGTTTCCACACCTGGCCTCATGTTACTTTTAAATTAAAAACAGAAGAAATAAATAAAATAAAAGAACCAACTTAGGAGTAGCAAATGCCCAAGTAATATTCAGAGTGAATACTAAAGAACCAACTTCCAAGGCTAGCTTACCACTTGAATACTACAAATTTTGAAGCAATGGCTTTGAATTCTAAACTAAGTATGTGCATTGAAGAACTGACAGAGGTGAAATGAATTGAAAATTAAAAGTGAATATGAACATGAAAACTGATATTTTCTAAAATTAACTCATGATATTTATAAAACTTTGTTTTAACTATTTCAGGACTTTTTTATATTTTCAAACACAAAAATACTTACAGTTTGATAATATGAGGATGACGAAAGAGTTTAAGATTTTGAATTTCTCGTTTTATTTTTCCAACAACATCTAAACTGCGAATCTTCTGTCTATTTAAGATCTTAACTGCCACTTTATGGCCTGTCAATTGATGTTCTCCAACTAAAGAAAAGAGAAAGAGAAATGTTGACTGTCATAAGAACAGAATCATCGTGCATCTTCCGACTGTGCCTGAAGCTTATTCACTCATGGATGTACTTCAGCATCATGGGATGCACACAGACCTGAAGTGCTCTTCTTTTGCCTCTGCCTCTTCCACTTGAAAAAGAATTCCTTCATCACAGAAGCTCTGCTTTAGTCATCTCAGCATCCTCAGTAAAGAAATGCTATTTCAGTCTCTAGGGAAAGGATTGCTAAATTCTATATCCCTTCATAAAAACACTGTAGAACATCTTTTAGACAGAACAGAATTCATTATATTTTTTCTTTATTCCTCATCTTCCATTTAACATCACTGTTATTACAGAAGAATAAATAATTTCTGTAGTAAACTTAAAACAATTTAATTACTGTTCAAAATTCAAGCTACAACAATCTCTGCTACTTCACATACCAGTCCTTACGCCCTTTTGTTCAGGGACTATGCTAATCTTCTCCAGTTTTAAAAGTTCTGCTAAGGCAGCATTCTTATTTCCTTTGGTTAGCACCACTCTCTACTATTGACTCCTAGGCTGTCTCTTGTCTGTTCTCTACTAGCTCTTTAAAGACTAATATCTGCAGGTTTTGCACCTACATTCATGGTAGACCCTTGAGTCATTGCATGCATCCTCATCCACACTTAAAACAACACTATGAAGTACTACTCTTCTCCAGGAATTAATACAACCTAACTCACAGAAAAGCTAAATGGTTTGTCCAACTAAGGTCACATGCTTAAGCTGGAAGCACCACATGTAACCAAGAGTTGTCTTTCTTCAGAGCCAAAATGTTTAACCACACAATTCAACAATGCCATCCATGTGTTTGTGACAGAGTGATGCAAACAAAAAAAATGGACTAATTTAGGAACTGCATTTCTTGTTGAGGGGTACTATTTTACTACCATAATTTCATAATCATTTTAATCACTTTGTAAAAGTTTGAAAGTTACTTTCCTCACATATAAGGCAAACTAATTAGTAGAAATCATGTTCAAGCAACATCAATTTACTAGCTTTCCACAATTCTTCAGGACTTAAGGAAAACTTTGATTTCAGGAACTATGCAATGAAATAACCTAAATAGTTTCTTGATGCCTGAGGAGTGTAGCACATACCCTGATAACACTACCCCACGTGGCCCAACAGTATGACTTTGTCTTCAAATCCACTATGGCCTCGATCAAAGTAAAAACTGCCAACCCTTATCACTACAATAGGGCAAGACTCCATTTCTCCTTCCCCCACAGAGTAACTAAAAGTACTGTCTAAGGAGAAAACAGGGAACTTTCCAAGTCAAAGAAGCCATGGACTCTGTAATAGCTGATTGAATAAATATTTGAGAGGTTAGTGAAGTACACTCTGCGTATGTCTATGAAGGCATTCCAAAGATAATTAAAACCTGAAAACATTGACCTAATCAATGGATAAATGCCTTGATAGATTCATACTATCACAATACAGGTGAAAAGGGGGGGGGTACAAGGTGGACCTCTGGAAAGAGATAGTCTTTAAGGCTGCAAGTGGCTCTAGTCTGTTTTTCCTTTCTGGCTGATAAAATACAAACTTCTCTGCTCTGACCTGCCCTTCTAGTCATGATGAGTTGGCACCTCTGAAACTGGGAGCCAAAATAAACAATTCCTCCCTACACACTGTTCCCAGGTATTTTGAACACGTGATGTAAAGGTATCTAACATGAAGTCTATTGGTCAAGCAGTTGAGTCATTTGTTTTACTAACACAGGGTTAATCTGCAAACAAAAACATGAGTGAACTGACTCAGAAGAGAATATGATTGCTTTGCCTATATGGAAGAAAAATTGACTTGTTTATCTTTATATATGAAGAAAATGTCACAATGAAACACTGAAAAAGAAATGGCATTTTCCCTAGAAATGGTTAAGTAAACAGATAAATAAATGCCTGCAGTTAAAACCATCAACTGCATTGAGAACTCTCCTTTTTTGATAATTTACACTAGCCTTTTGCCTGATAATTCCTTCAGTGACTTGGTGCTTAACTATAATTAATTACATACAAATAATCTGTCATTCTTCCCCTGAAAGCCAAATGAAAATCCTAAAAGTCTTCTTAATAAATACACAAACAGGACCAAAAAGCTACCTTCTATGTGTGTACAAGACAGAAATTTTCCTTTATGGAAATCAAACATTTGCGTTCATTGAAACTTTATTTCCAGTTATTTAATCAATTTAAAATTTAATAAATCTAAAACATTTGCTAGGCATCTTTTATGAGCAATGGCTTGTTGATCATATGTACTTAGAGATTCCATTAGGCTTCATAGTATCAATGGGGAACAACTTCATCAATAAAATAACTGAAATAAATTTTATAAGGTATTTAATATACTTTGTAAAGGGTAGTTGAAAACAGGATGGACAAACTTACCACAGGATTTTACAAAAGCAAATATTCAGATCATATCTGCTTTCTGGTACAGTAAGAGCACACACCCACTGAACAATTTTATAATGAGTGCCCACTATGGGAAAGCATTGTACTAATCACACTGGCAGTCCACTTGGGGTAGAGTGCTTCTGTTGCACTGCTAGTTGCCCAGCAACATCTACTGCACTTGCCCTCCCCCCCCCAGGCACAAATCCCAAATTACACAAACATATGACTAGTAAAAGAACAGACAGCAATGTACAACTCTGTGTCTAGAAGTAGCCAAGGAAATGTTTCAGCAGCTTCACCATCTCAAAGTCTGGAACTTAAAAGCCTCTGGTCTGAGCCTAAAGGTAAGTTGTGTGTCTAGGAGCAACAGGGAAGAGAAGACTAACAGACATGATGACAGTTTGAACCACTTGCCAGAATTCTACAAGAGAGTTATATACTACCATCTTACTTAAATCCCTCTATTTGTTTATTTATTTATTGAGAATTTCACAAATATACAGTGCTGAAGTTAGGCAGTTCTGAGCCACCTGAAGCAAGAGCACATTGCATTATTAACCGCTGATCCAACTCTCCAACAACATACAATGGTTTTTGAGCAAACCCACACTCCTCACACTACTTCTCCATCTTTAATACACAAACTTTTCTATTTGTTTGGTTTTTAACTCATTAGTACAGTTAGTGTTGCCAGTATGTGTGAGAGTGTAGAACCATTTCACTGAAGCAAGGGCCAGCTACCAGGATCTGCATCCCTGAAGAAAACTGACTGATCCTCCCCAGTAGCCAATAGTTCCTCAGCGACGATGAGTGGGACTTTGTGGACCCCTCTCCCATTCATGCTGGATTTTTGCTGGACTGATCGTGTGTGGATCTTATGAATACAGAAACAGCTACTATGAGTTTTTATGTTCAACAACCCTGTCATGTCTGGAAGACACTATTTTGCAGCAGTCCTCCATGACCTCTAGTTTTACAACCTTTCTGCGCATGATGGTCTTTAGGTCTTGGGAGGAGGGAATATGACATGGATGTCCCTATAAGATGGGCTTAAAGACAAAATTTAACATAGGGCAGAAAAAAATGTATTTCTATAATGATATAAATGAATTTTAAATTTATGTCTAACATGGCAAAAATGACATAATGGATAAAACACAGAATATTTACAGCAGCGTTATTCATAATAACCAAAATACAAAAACTTTCTAAATGCCTATTAACAACAACTAGGTAGTACAGACTTAATGTAATACTGTGCATCATTGAGACTGAACAAATTATAATTATATGCAACTACAGACAAAAAGCTCACAAACATAATCTCAGGGAAAACAAGCAAGATATAAAAGTTCAAAAGGGGCTACAATTATACATGGAAGGTGACCTTCAGTGGGAAGAAAGAATGGAGACATTGACTAAAGGGAGCTCCTGGGATGTGAGTCATTTCTGTAGTTTTTGGAAGCAGTGTTGATGAGGGTTTATACTATCAGTAGTCATGTAAAGAATGATCAGAAGGATGAGAATCTTTCTGGAATAGAGGGTGTTAGTGGTTTGAACGAGAAATGTTCCCCATAGACTCACATGCTTGAACTCTTACTACACAGCTGGTGGCACCGTTAGGAAAGTAGTGGAATCTTCAAGAGTTGGAGTTTTTCCAGAGGAAGTAAGTCACTGGGGATGGCTCTTGAGGTTTTATTACACAGCCTCACTTCCTGTTCATTCTCTGCTTCCTGATGCAATGTGGATACAATGTGTTCAGTCAGACTTCCAACACTGTATCTTCCCTTGCCCTATACTCTTCACCACCACAGTGGACTATATATCTTTGTAACTAAAGATATTCTTTACATTGCATTTTTTCTGAGGTATTTTACCAGAGGAACAAGAAAGTAACTAAGGCAGGATATGTAATTTTAAAGTTAATTGAGAACTATTGGAGGCCCTGAACACAATGGTATATGCCTTGCTTCCTAGCAGAGGGAGGAGGATCACCCCAAGTTTGGTCTACATAGTAGTTTTGGCCAAACAGGGATATGCAAAGGGATTCTGATCAAAAAAAACTAGGACACTGAATCAATACCTAAACTATGACAAACCAAAGGTTATTAAATCTATCAACAAGTTAGAACTTGGTGCAGAAGTTGGCCCTGTTTGTTGGCCTTTACTCATGCATATTTAGAGCTTTAATTCCGGGAGGCAGGAGTGACCTGATGTGCATATATATGTTCTAACACCTACAATCACCAGGCTCCTGCCAAAATAGCACAAGGCTCCTTTCTTCTTTGCTGGTGATGAAACGAAACAGCCTCACTGATTTTCTCCAAATTTCCTTTTTACGAAGTCCTTGAATTCTCTGAAGATAGGTCGATTGTGAAAGCAGTAAACTTTTTATTTTTGGATTATGACTAAGTACCATACTAAGAGTTGTAGGGGCATATTTAATACTCCAAACTCAGACGGTAGATGGCAACCTGTCTAGGTGACAGAGAGGACACTAGGAATTAGGAGAACACTTTCATCACACTGTGACGAAATACCTAAA